CTCACTGCGCACTCTCCAGCTCTCTCACACAAACACAGTCTCTTCCTCTCACTCTCTCTCTCTTGCACACATAGTCTCTTCCTTCTCACTCTCTCTCTCCCGCACACACACAGTCTCTCCCTCTCACTCTCTCTCTCCTGCACACACACAGTCTCTCCCTCTCACTCTCTCAGTCTCTCCCTCCCACTCTCACCCGCTCGCTCGCTCGTTCTTGTGTCCCTTTCTGCCCTGCTCGTCCATCAAACCCCAAGTATTCTCGCTGCTGGGCTGCGAGCCAGTTGGCTCAAATATGAATGAACCTGGCCGCGTTCCCAGCCAGGTTAATTAAATTTGGAACAATAAACAGATTCGTGCCCACCAGCAAGCACGACAATTCTCACCCTTGCGGCCACGCAGGTACTCACGGGCGTACACCCTCTTATCCCCCACAGTTTCTCTTTCCCACTCTCTCTCTGCCCCCTGCTCACTTCACTGGCGGAATTGCCAGTTCACCTCACCAACGGAAACGGTTGATCTCGTCGTCGGTTGAACGGCTGATCTCATCATCAGCAGAATAGCGGTTCACTCCACCAGCGGAAATGGCAATTCTCATCACCCACAGAATAGTTGTTCGATGTCTGATCTGCTCATCAGCGGGGTAGCTCCTCACTTCACCAGCGACAATGGCTTTTCTCTTCATCAGCGGGATAGCTGGTGACTTCACCAGCGGTAATGGCTTTTATCTTATTTGGGTGACTGCCTCATCAGTGAAAGTAGTTGTTTCCACAAACAGGAGGYATGGCTCACTGCCTCATTAGTCAAAACGGTTGTCCCTCACCTGGCATGCCAACTGAAAGCCAGTCTCCCCCTCACACACAATCTCTCACTCTCGCTGTCCAGTCCCCTTCTCTCTCACTCTCCCTCTCACACGCAGTCTCTCACTCCCGCTGTGCAGTCCCCTTCTCTCTCACTCTCCCTCTCACACGCAGTCTCTCACTCTCGCTGTGCAGTCCCCTTCTCTCTCACTCTCCCTCTCACACGCAGTCTCTCACTCCCGCTGTGCAGTCCCCTTCTCTCTCACTCTCCCTCTCACACGCAAGTAATCGCCTGAGCGCCGACGCGTCTCCCCCGTGCTTGCAATGCTCCGCAACAGCTGTGCGTCGGGTACGCCTGGCATGCCATCCATCAGTCCTCTCCCCTCATCCCCCGTGCATCAGTCTGCGCATCGATGTTTCCACCCTGAGCCCGGTATCGCGGGTACGCCTTGCACACTGTC